ATAATAATAATAATATATGTCATTTTACTCAGCAATAAGTTTCATTCGGTATAAAATATTTAAATAAACCATATTGAGTATTCGTGTATCGCATATTTCATTTTTTAGCCCTCACCTTTTTCATATTATGACCAAAACACTGTGCAACTGGAGAGGAGCAGTTATGCTGTAATTTATGGTAGTAATAAAATACTTTATAATTAATTAACGCAGGGTTTAAAATGTGAAGTTTATAAGATGTGGTGATTAGAATATAAAAAAATGTAAAGAATTAATTTTGCATTAATAGCTTCACTAAACTGAAACTTGTACATTCGTAGTGTATTAATAGTTTCACTAAAGTTAAACTTTACTTAAAAAATACATAAATAAAGTAAAAAAATAAATCAATGAAGTAAACGCAATTAAAATAAGTAAAATGAAGTAAATTCATAGATGTAAATTGTTAAGACACTAATGTACTAATAATCCATCACTGTGAATTAACTTCTAACATCATATTATCCCGTTTGCTTGGATGAAAATTCAATTGAAATATATTTCAACGATAATTACATTGGGCGTTGGGAGTTAGGAAGTTTTACAAATTTCATGCAAAGTTATACCATACTTCTGTCGTAACATTTTATTTCAATACTCAATTGGTTTTTATAATCAGATGGACAATATTTGATAAATATCCAATATCTCATTGCCATAAAATGTCTTACGATATTGGTATTGATAACGTGTTAGTAGTGAACTCCGAAAGTACTACTCGGATGAATCCCATAGAGCGCACGAACACGCTTTTTTTCTCTGAAGTTAACAAAATGAAGTTAAATGGTCGTGAATTCCTATTCCCCTTCTCAGTGTTATAGTCCCTACGCAGTATTTGAGTTAAACTCAGAGTGTGTACATGTCCCAATGTGCGGATGTATGGTTCTTTCACTCGCGGCTAGACCACTTCTCATGCCAGTCGAGACGTATGAGATACCTTTCTACGCGCCTCGGTCACCTGATAGGGAACTGATAATTCACTTTCTGATCTGGCCTGAAAATTCAAAGAAATTCGAAAAAGTTTTTTTTCGTGTTGTGATGCTGCGATCTCAGTGATAATTCCAAGAATTATCCTCTTAAATCGATCTCTGTAGGTAGCGTTGATTATACTTCAGTACTCCGTGGTTATTTTCAGTTCACGACATCTTTAATTTTTTATGAGGTTGACAACACTAATTGTAGGCAAATGAGCAATTTCAAATGAAACTCGTGCGGTTGAATTGGTTTTGAATTCGTAGTATTCATATTTCTAGCGTATTTTTTATAATAAGTTTGCAAATTACCTTCAAATATTGCATTTGGAGAATATCAAGTAAATACGAAGAAAACAAGAGCTGGAAGTAAAACTAGAAAATACCTTTTTTAAATGTGTAAAGATAGATTTCCAATTTAATTTCACTTAAAACTATTCATCTTATTCACGTAAACACACATAACAGTAACATTTTAAAGCTTACATATATTCACCTTCGGAACGTAAATCAGACTGAGTTTGTCATGTTTTAACATATTAAAGAATTAGGGGACCAAAATATGGTAGTTTTAAATAACTCTGGAGAATCAACAGTTGCTGTACAATTTTCTGAACTAAATCTTACGAACTTATATTAGCATTAGAGAATAACACTGAACATAAGTTTACAGGAGATAATTTATGTTCATATTAAAAAACAAAGTGTGAAGAGTATAGCTGTACTAAATTCTAACTATTCGCATCATTCATACCAATATTTTTTTTACGATGGTTATAATTTTGAAATTGCAATATTACGAGTTCATATCCTGTACGGAGATAATATACAAGGTCATTGGGTGTTGGGAATATTTGAACGGGATTATTACATTAACAGCCTCTACGATTCGTTGGCAAGTCAAATGACAGATACTGTAAGAATATATTTGAACACAGCAAGGCATGGAAGAAATTAAGTATGGAGTAAATTTTCAACACATGAAAATACTTTTTTAATTAATTGTATACCTGTTCAACATACATGTTTTTCAGGGTTGTGAATAGAATCATATATATTTTTTGGTTTATTTCTTAACTGTGGGTGCCCTGGACGGATGCGATAAATGTTTTTGGATTTTTTAAATAATTTAAATTAATACGGAAGTATATTGAGAGTACAGAGAATGATCGTTGATATGATTATTCAATGAAGGTTATATTATTTGAGGTCCATTTTCTGCTGTTTTATGGTGGTCTGAATCTGTCTTCAGGGAAGCGTGAGTTGATGCGTAAGTTCGGTTCTGCTGTGCGTTCAAGGTTGAAAATGGAGGTACTGAGAGATGAGGGGAGTGATGTGAAGAAGTCTTCGGAAAGTTGGTGATGTGATGTGTTCTTTTATTGTCGGAATTTGCAGTTCATGGTGGATTTACTAGTTTGAAATGAACCATGGGGCTTTAATTATAGTTCTTAGCGCTTTATTTTGTTTAGTTTGTAACATGTTTATATCAGTTTTTGCTGCATTCCCCATATTGAGCATGCATAAGTCATAGTTGGTCGAATTTGAAAATACTTTGAAAACAGGTTTACTTCGTCGGCGACGCCACAATCAAATAGTCATTCATTATTCCCTAACACTTTCTTTACGAATGACTTGTTGGGTATACTAGCTATAAAATAGTGATATATAAGTAGTGAAGAGTCTTTGTTATTTTAATATATTTTTCATTGTTACTAAATACCCCACCAAAAGAGTCATTTCTAGAATGAACAAAATTGTGATATACAGAAAGTTAAATCGAACAGGAACAACATTTTTTTAACTAAATACAAGCTACATATCATAAATTTCTTTCGTATTTCCGCGGAGGTTATTATTTAAATAAAATTAACTGTATTGAGTAAAGGGATGCTTTAAAGTCTTAATATACAAAGGGAAACGTATAAAAACACAACAATTGTTTAATAATGCATTTTATTGATAATGACAGTGACATATGTTTCCAGACAGTTGATTTACACTGCAATACAGACGAGAAAGGTCCAAGGGAAGGGCGAAAGGATTAGGAATGTTTCGGTCAAACGCAACAATACGTTTTACACTCATCGTTCATGGGAAGCGACCTGTAAATGAACTGTCTCGATAAATTTATTGTTTAGGTTACGCGTGGATTATAATTAAATCAAATTTTATTTTATAGAATTACTTGAAAACTTAGAGCGTAGACAAAAGAAAAGTAACATTTTGAAATAGTATTCATTCTCTACAGAAGTTGTACAGGGATACGTTAGGAAAATAATAACAACATTTGCGACCAATTGTGATCGAGTCCCATGAAAGATGATGTTGCGTCAAGTAGGCCGTTCACTTTGTCCTTCGTCAGTCATCTCTGCCCTGAGGACAAGATGGGATATCTAGGGCTTGAAAACATGCGTGTTATGCTAAATCCTTATCACATTGCTGGATGGCTGTTCTTACTCCCCGTGTTGCAATTCAGTGAGAGACTCTGTTGTTTGTATTAGGAAGTGGATCGATTGATTTTGCAATTTAATGGTAGGTCAACGTAATATTCATGGAAAACAATGAAAATTGTTATTTCAGTAATAAATGCTCTATCTCACTGGTCCCGAGGGAAGATAACAATTCGCACACTTCCCCTACTATATTTAAATTATTTTGAGCCAAAGAGAAATTGAGTTTTCTAATTGTTATCTAAAGTACTACGGAGGTATTGTCCTAAATGTAACGTGTTTTCTTTGCATGTGACTGAGAATACTTACTGACGCAATCATACCTCAATAAGGGAATAATGGCGCCTACATTTATCAGAACTTTTCAATGTTTTACAAAACGATTCTATTTTAGTCTCGCAATGTTTGCAACACGTTAGTATCCTTCAGTATTTCGAGGTTCAGTCAAACCACAACCATCAACCAATAATCCCATTTTAAGAAAATATCGGAAAATATTAAAACATTTCCTTTGTATTTAACGTTTATTCTATTATGACGCCGTAAAGATGATTGCTCGACGAACAAAATTTAATTTGAGGACTGCCATAACATACAAGTTTCCTTACCTAGTTCTTGTGGCGTATGTGCGGAAACATATCATCTTGTAAAATGTCATCTTTAGAGCATCATAATTATTCCTGAAAACATCGTACTTACTACTGCTGTGAGTTTATACATTGAGTAATCAGCAAAGTTATTTTAATGGAGACAAATAAATCCAAAGCTTTCAAAATTTACACTGTTATGTACACTATATGCACGTAGGATGGAGACTGTGATGCGTAAGACATTGTTATACATATTTTGTAAATATTGGTAGATCTGTAGGAAGATAGCACCTTCCTTCGGTTCTCCAATACTTTTCACCATTTGGCACATTTTAAACATGATTAATACTTCTTACGATGCTGAACAATCTACAGTTCAATACAAAAATCATCTTTCTTTCTTACGTACCCAATTGGAATTATATTTTTTAGTAGTAGGCATACGTTTTCTGCTTACAGATTACATGAAACCCAGTAAAACATCTTGAACTCCTGTTTAAGACGAATTTCTTGTTTAATTTGGGTATTATTAAAATTAAACTTAGAAACACATTCAAGCGGTCTTTCTTACACAGAAATCGGCAAGTACAAAACTCCTGAAACAAAATACACTCTCATCCAAGAACGCCTCCATTCCGCAAATATTCCCGAACGAAGTCATATTGCACCGTGCAGCAGACGATTGCTTTGCTATGAAACCTACACTTCGTTTGATTCACAACACAGAATACCCGGTCACTATATTGTTTCCAACCTCCGTAAACCCTGAAGTCAGCATTGTTTTCAGTTAATAACGTTCCCAACAACGCAACTCCTTCTGACGTATGGAAAGGCCGGAAGTTAATGTGGTGGACGCTTGTGTCAACCGAGAGTACACAGTGTGGCAGTTCACATTTCAAGATGTCAGCGCACCAATGCAACGAAACGTTTGTGACAATGCGTACGTTGACCGTTAGTTGTGTGTGCGTCAGCGTCGTGGTTCCCGGAGGCATCGGCGAAACGGAAGTGCGGGTGTCCACCGGCCCAGCGGAAGTTTCACAGCAGGTGGCAGCAGCCGGCGGCCATCTTGTGGGCGTGGGGCAGTCGCAGCGGCGTCGGGGCGCGGAGCAGATGGGGGCGTGGTCGCCTGTCGCATCACCTGCGAGACGCCAGCGTCGCGGCGCCCCGCGCCGGTGGCAGGAGCAGCAGCAGGAGGAGAAGCAGCGTCGCGGCGCCCAGCAGCCCCACCGGACACCGCGGTGCCGACGCCGACGCCCCGCTGCGGCTGCCGTGTTGCATCGCCGCGGGCTTCTCGCCTGCAACAGTCGCATGTGACGCGTCAGGACCAATCGAACAAACACTTCGACTGCCACGAAAGATAGAGAGAGATTTGACGTGTATTGTTGATGTTCACAATGACAATAGAAATAAAATATAATAAAATTTTATTATTATTATTATTATTATTATTATTATTATTATTATTATTATTATATTTTTTATATATTTCTGGGGCCTTTGTGGAGCCACAGCCGGTTACTCTTTACATTCCGACGGAACGTTCTTTCGACCACACACTAGACATCAACGAACTTTTGGGCTCCTTTGTTCTGGGGACAGTAGGATTCGCAGTTCTCCGCGTCAACACATGCATTGAAAAATAAGGGACAAATAACCATGACCAAGGAAGGACTCGAGACCGCGACCCTTCGGACACAAGTGCTGAGTTCGTACTCGCTCATAGCCACCTCAATTATCTAGGTCGGCATATGAAATAGCTCATGTGTGTGTATGTGTAAATGGTTTATTATGTTAAAAATATTTGAATATATTCGTTAACAAAGAACTTGCTATTGTCAGCTGTAATTTTCTAAAATTTCAATGAGAGTTATGAGAGTTATTTTTGTAGTGTCATTGTATTTTAGAATACGAATGCGTCACGAGACAGCACCAGCATTCGACTTTCACATATCTTGAGAAAAAACATAATAAAGTGATTTGGGGATTAAAATAAAATATTGTTAGCGTCTTAGTACATCGAAAATATTTTATTATAATATTGATATTTAATCATTATACTTCATTCTTATAAGAACAGAATCTAAATCAAAATGACCCTACATGTTCCAGCACAGAAATTCTTGCAGAATTTTCTCCATTTTCTAGACATTTTTCGAACTGACCTAACAAATGTTAATTCACACTTCTGAATAAAGAAATATATTTTAAACTATTTATGGTGCGCTTTATGAGCTGACGTTTCAACGTACGGGCAGATGCAATACATTTTCTTAACTGTCCACGTATATTGTCTCTCACTATGTAGTGTATGTTGCCATCGTTTTACAATTAATATTCAGTGCTTTGTATTCTTCATTGATTTTATGTCACAGCTTAGTTACAAACTAAAAGGTTATTGAAAATATCTTCCTGACAGACTTTACTTTCAATTGAATCGATTTATATCACTGTGCAGCGTAATTGAACCCCACCTGTCTCTATTATTCTTCGATGTTGCTCCATTTTCCACAGATGATGCACATTTGTTCCAGCTGTAGTAGGATTGTATTCGAGTAGGTGTTTAGTTTGTTTAGTATGTTAGTTTTTTGCCAAACCTTTCGTTTCAGTTTTTGTACTCTTTTAAACAAATGGCTAATTCGTAGCAGAGTTTAATTTGCGTTGCCTACTGTTTTTAAGTGAGAATGTAACTTATAAATTTTTGCCCATGTTGGTACCTTGAAGACAGAAGATTTCAATAAATATGCAAACGTTCTTTAAAAATAATTACACAACGTCAATATTTCAAATATGCCACAACATAATTTTAAAAAATATTTGCAAAATCGATGCCGCCTCAATTGCAATGTTCATATTTAATTAATAAAATACGGTATTTGAATGTAAAAATTTAATATCATCAACTTTGTCCCATTTTCGACATTAAAAAGATTGCTTAAAATATTCAAAAAGGTGATTTGATGAAATGTTATAATAATTTACCATATTTTGATACCTTCAAAAATTATTTAAAATCGATAACATTATAACCTGTGGAAATATTTAATTATTTACTTTTCTAGTTTTCTTTAGAAAACTAAACATCGATAATATATTTCTACATTTGCTATTATTTTAAAAGGGGAAACTAAAAATTATGGCATGAATAATTTATTTTAAAGTAATTATATTCAATAGAATTTAAACATGAAGCATTTTTCGCAGAGATCTTGAAACGATAAATAATGGAGAAATCTGGGTGGAATTTAATAATGAATTAAGTCAAGACAATGAACCATTCGTGTTAGTGGCAAAATTTCTGGTATGGTGAATATCTCATGAATGTCCCTGACTTTTAATTTGTACTACAACTACATGCTCAGAACCTCTTTAACAGCGGAAACCAATCTAATCGCTTAACTTCCCCTAACTAAACGATGTGGTGTGAAATCTGGTGCTGTGGTCTCACAGTGATTTACCTTACGATAACGGAATGGAAGATAATGAGCAGACCATTACCATAACTCAACCGTATTCACAGAATTATTCACTCCCCCATCAAATCATCGGTAGCTAGAAAGCAATACTCTCCAGATACCACTCGGGGAGGTAACTAACTTATTGATGATGAAAATAATAAAAAACAATCAAGACATTGATTAAACACAAAATAGCAATATTAATGTGTCTAATACAGCAATAATGTTCTTTGTATATTATTATTATTGATAGTATTATAATAATAATAATTATTATTATTATTACATAGGTCATTTATGATCACACTACACGCTTAATGTACATAACTATGGGTGTCAGTTTTTTAGATGTATCCCTCGGTAAGAAAAGGTTGGTACGCCTTGAATTGTGAATTTTGAGATGTTATTGATTGTGAATGAGGGGTGAAGGGACAAATACGACCATGCCTATGCAGTACTCGAACCTACAGCCTCCTCTATGCAGACAACTGCTGTCGCAACACGGGGCCGGCTGCACTTTGTATATTATTATATATTATTTTCAGCTTATTTTTCTCAGATATGTAATTGTGAAGCCAGTTAAAGATAATACGGCTCTCTCCCTTAACATACTGAATGCAAAGGAATTGGCCTCCTTTTGCGAGAACACGGCATTAGACAGCACGAACTCGCGTGAGGAATTGCTTCGTATTCATAACCTCAAATATTCAAGGCGAGTTGACTCTTAGCTAAGCGTGTCTAAGTTCTTGTCCTTTGCCCTAAACAATTAACAAAATAAATCCTTGACCCAGACCAACGAATTATTTCCAATGCATGTTATGCCAAAATAAGTCTTTAATTAACTAATACTTTCGATTCTTATTTGATCTACAAAACTGAATGCTCCTGCTCCCGCCCCTCTTACTTCACTTTCGTTTACTGGTAACGCGATGTTTTAAAGTAAACTTTGAACGTCTCTTGGATCGTACCGATGACGCGTCGATACGTTATGGGATAAGCTCTGACATGCAGATAAATTAACCTTCGAGTACTCGTGCGGGAAGCAGGTGTAGCCAAACAAAATAATTTTTGTTGATGCGCTACATACAGAGATTTTAGAGTGGTGCGAGTATCTGTAGCTTGAGAGAACCATGTTACTCTTACTATCCTGTCTACTTCCGAGCTTTTCATACCCAACAAATTCTTATCTGACAGTTTTAAAGTTGATTGACACACAATTTTAGTCTGCGCGAGCACTGATTTTATGGGTGATAGGAAATTTACCATGCAGTAAATTCAAAAAATTATATATTTTCTGTCATTTTGTATTATACTTTTGGTATGACTGATGAATGACAAAGATAAATTCTCAGTGCATAAATAAAATAAAATTGTATTATAATAGAAATCGCTTGTTCCAATTTTTCATCTTACAAGGGAATGCCGCGATGTGATATGTCGAAACCTGTCCTAATACATCTTTCAATCGGAAGCACATGCTGTATTAATCTAACAATCAAACTTTTGGGTGCCGATACACACTGCAGGTCAATTAAAAAACATCCTGAATTTGCAAATTGGACCTATGCTTTCACGGATGTAAAAATGGCCATCGCTGCAAAGCGGGTGTTTCCCAGCTCACTCGCTTGTGATTCAACACTACTGCTCGCCGCAATTGGCAGACTGCTTTCAAGGTCGTTTCCTGCAAGGGGCAGGCGGGGAGGGAGCTTCCCCTCCTAGCCGCTAAAATATTAAAACTAATAACACTAATATTAACTGTACATAGCCTAAACTTCTAATACAAGTTTTTCCGCATTTTACTTTTATCTGTTGTTTATTTTTATAAGAAATACATTTCACCGTGAAAAACTTTGCCGCAAACTCTCATATTCCATCCAACATGAGCTATCTACCCTGGAGATCTTTCCTCACGAATTTGAGAACTCTTGTCTGCGTATTCTGCGAAACTGGTCAGTTGTGTAATCACACGCGAGAGGTCAGTGCAAACCAGAAAAGTGGGTAAAGTTGTAAGTCTTTCGGAATTTCCGAATGAGAAAATTAATTTATCGACCCAAATAGGCACAAATTAAAGAACAGTAATTTCCGCAGACAAAAAAAAACAGAATGAGGCCATGACATCCAAATTTGATTCTCAAAACAACTCTTAAATCTCTTCTTTACATAATTTAAATATAAAGTGACAAAGAAGTTATATGACTTGTTTTCAATATTTAATTATTATGCGTATAGACGATATTCATAAAGAAAAAAAAGGAACAAACTTTCATTGGTAAGGAAATAAAATATCTCAAATATAATGGACTTTTACAATGAGAAAAGCATTGAGGGTTTTAGGAACCTGCTCCCATCGAACGTCATTTGACCTTGAGGAAAGAACCCGCTATAATGCCACCTTGGCGTTCCGCTTGCGAGGTCGGTCCAAGGTCTCTCTAGAAACGAAACATAGAATGAACATGTTGTCAATTTTGGAAATTTTAAAAGCAATTGGCAGTATGTATCGGCCATTACATCGGCATTTACATCGTGGCATCAGAAAGGCATGTAAATTCAATGAAAAAAATATGAGTGCATGTTTCGACATGTCACACCGAGGCATTCCCTTGTTATATAAAGGCAACACAGGTAGACTTAAATGCCAAACGTTAGTGTTTAATGACTTTCAAATAAAAATGTAAATATATCTATTGCGTTCTAGTTCAGAACGTTTTTTACATAACTCATAATGGCTAAAGATATAAGGTATTTAAGATATTTAGGCTACATACGTAACTCGCGAGAACACGCGCGTTACAACAGCATCAAGTACAGCAGGATTAATAAAACCCGTATCAGAACAACGACCGCGCGTGCGTGCAGTACTGACCAATTTGTATTTATTACTTTTTGTTCGACAATAAATCTTTCAGAGCATTGAAATTTATGGGTTGAGAACTGTCGTTATGGACACCAATAATGACCTTTAAGGTGGTTGCGTACATCAAAATGTAAAATTTCATCTTTTCAAAATTTTTATTTCAATTTTTGATACAATTTATATTTAATGAATCGTATGATGCGTTTTAGTCTCTTTTAAATGCTTTAAACCATTTGTTTCTACGTTTCTTAGTTTTTTGAAGCGAATGTCGACTTTTAAGCCCTAGTGAGTGAACTTCAGACACATTTTCCAGCATCTGGAATTTTCAGCACATTCATGCATGTCAAACATCATAAATCATAAACCATACAAGATAACCATATAATTATTTTCGCAACGTGCAACCCATGATTTGCTCTAGAAAATGAACTAGAATAGTTAATAGGTCAGTAAAACTTTCAGTTAAATGAACTCAAATGTATAGAACATACTTTTAAACAATTATTTGTTTCTCAAATAATCAAATCCTGACTCTTAGTTTTCATAGCACCTTATTGACGATGGAAATATTAGAAAACAATCAAGAAAATACATTGACTAAAATCAAAATAGCGGTATTGAAAGTGTTTAACACAACAATGTTGTTGTTTGTTTATTATTATTATTATTGTTATTATTATTATTATTATTATTGTTATTGTTATTGTTATTATTGTTATTGTTATTGTTATTATTGTTATTATTGTTATTGTTGTTATTGTTGTTATTGTTGTTATTATTATTATTTGCGTATAGGTCCTTTCTGACCACCCTACAGAATTAACGTGTATAACTATGGATATCAGTTTTTCAGATGTATCCCTCGGTAAGACAAGGTTATTACGCCTTGAATTCTGAATTGTGGAGTGATAGGATGATGACGGTGATGGGACAATCACAAACACTACCATGCTTACGCTGGACTCGAATTAATTATCTACAAACATGTACAGGCTGATGGAGGCCGCCTGCTTGATGCAGGTCGTGCACGTGTAGTTGTCCAAGTCATTACCTCTTCCCGTCCCCTAAGAAACCAGTAGAAGCACTCACCGTTGAGCACGTGCACGGTGACGGAGGCGGCGCGCGCGTTGCTGGGCACGCACGTGTAGTTGCCCGAGTCCTGCTGCTCGGCGCGCGGCACCTTGAGCACGCTGCCGCTGCGGTTGTGCGTGACGGTGACGCCGCGCTCCTTGTCGTAGTTGATCATGCGGTCCTCGTGGTACCAGAACACGTAGACCGGCGCCTCGGTGCTGTGGCGCAGCGAGCACACCAGGCGCAGCTGCGAGCCGCTCTTCAGGTGCAGGTCGGGCGCGCCCAGGATCTCCGCCTCCGCTTCTGCGCATGCGCAAGGCGCGAAACAACAATGTGAATGAAAATGCGTCATAATAGGGAGTGTTATGAATCAAGAAGCGTTAAAGCAATCGACTATCTTGTGCGCATGCGCAAGTCGCGAAAAAAGAATGTGAATGAAAATGCGTCATAATAGGGAGTGTTATGAATCAAGAAGCGTTAAAGCAATCGACAGAAGTCGACTATCTTGTGCGCATGCGCAAGTCGCGAAAAAAGAATGTGAATGAAAATGCGTTATAATAGGGAGTGTTTTGAATCAGAAACGGTTAAAGCAATCGAGAGAAGTCGTATCTATCTTCTGCGCATGCGCAAAGCGCGAAAAAACTATGTGAATGAAAATGCGTCATAATAGGGAGTGTTTTGAATCAGGAAGCGTTAAAGCAATCGACAGAAGTCTTCTGCGCATGCGCCAGGCACCGAAAAGCAATGGAAGTGAAAATGTGTCGTGATAAGGAGTTTTTGCTTGTCGAAGCGTTAAGGCAATCGACAGAAGTATCTATCTTCTGCGCATGCGCAGTTTGAATTTCGCATCTCTTTTGTGTAAATGCGCATGCGCACGAAGTCGAGATTGCAGACAATTGCTCTACGCTATGCCGTGCAAAAACTCTTTAGCGGATTTCGCCAAATGTTAAAGAGAAAATTCATTTACAGAAAGAACGTATTCTCTCACGAGCAACGAAGGAGCTAGGAATGTAGCATTCTCGAGTATCTATGGTACGTATGTTCATATTATATGATCGGATTCAAATGCTGTTTTTTTTTCGTGATCGGAGTAGGCTAATTGGTTTATTATTACAGCTAATAAGTTCCTTGCAGTAAATACAAAGGCTCTTTATTATATCGAATAACATTAAGAGCACTGTAGAAGCCAATATAATGATATTAATCAAGAAAGCATAGTAAGAAAATCAGACAAATTGATAAAAGGCGATCGAATAAGATAAATCAAAATATAATGCGCTACTCCTTTCTCCATGATACATACACATACATCTCGCATGTGCACTTGCATATAATCAACTTGCGTTTAATAGCCTCTCTTAGTATCTTGTAATATAAATAACTATTATTTTCATGTATAAGATTTTCTTTGTTTTAAGTTGTGTTTTTTTAGTAAAATACATAATTTGTTTTTAATAATTGCCCTGTTATGTTACTTCTGGTTAAATAATATTCTGTACCGCCACAAGCAATGCTTACAAGTTTAGTTTAGTAGCATTAGTCAAATTTGTACAAGGAGATGTACGTTGTCAAGTAGTTTCTGTGCAATCTTCAGGCACACCCACGAGAGTAGATAAACATTATAATGAAACTACGTCAGGTTTTTGTAATGGTGAGGAGATAGCATGTCCTGCCGCACTTCTCAGTACTAGAGTAAAAATGTCAAGGAAAATATTACCCACAAGTAAGTTATATTTCAGATTTACATGACCTTACAGGACAGGATTTAAGTATTGTGTGGCTTGTTTTGCTTGTAGGTAAATCCATCCGTGCTTATCACAATAATAGAATAAGGTGTCGTCTTCATGTCATTATCGACGTTTTCATTTATTCTTTCAACACCATAAGATATGGTGCAAAATACAGATTTATAACATAACGAAATACAACAATATAAATATATAAAGTTAGTTTTATTAAATTGTTAAGAACAATGATTCGAATTTCAAGAAGGCATAAACATAATATAACAAAATGAAAGAAAAGAGAAAACGGTGGCAAAATCTATTTTGTTATTTCTGGCAGTTATTTTAGTGTATCTGTTTTGCAAAAGTGAAATAAAAACTTGTATAATTTCAGAAACTATGTGATACTATATCGTTCTAAAAAATAAAGAATAGTATTTCTAGAGCAAAACATAGTTTTCCCTCGTAACTACACATACGTGTCTGCCATACCAGCATGAAAATGCCTGGTAAAAAGCTATTAACTTGTAATAGACAAATATGCCAGATTTACATTCAAAATAACAACAATATTATAAAACGAAAATGGACATGTTTTTAGAATTTGTCTTATAATTTAGTCGTGGAATTTATTTGGAAAAATTTTCGAACCTAGCAGCATGAATATAAAAATTACTACAAACCAAGAAATAAAAAAAAACGAACAAAAAAAACCTTGAAAGTTTACACCTGTAAAACTGGACGTAAATGTCATAACTAAAAGGATAAGATGATGTGAATAATTTTCAAAGTGTTGCAAAATGTTATTTGCGCCTGGGGTCAGAAAAGACAACGAACAGTCTAAGAGTTTAACACCAGGCCGCAGAGTGGGGGGAGGGGTCGATGATTTGAGTTTAGTCATGTGTTGGAGGTGGGGTGGTTTATAATAGTACATATGTTGGATAATGAGAATAATGATTTAACTTGAAGCTGGTGAGTAGGTGTGCTGTCATCTGTCGTGACAAAAGGAAGGACTATTAGACGAGTGTGTGCAGCGTTAAGAAGCTTGCACTATTGTGCAAGCTCATTAACGTCATGTTTACAAAAGTAGAGCAACGTTCGTGGCTCAAAATTGAAGTGGCACGAGGTCGTAGTAAGCAATAATTTTTTAACAACTACGTGAATCATGTGGTAATGCAGCGTTGCCATACTACACAGCTGCACGATGGGTTAAAGCGTCCAGGTTAGGCAGACATGATGTGAAAGATAACCCCCGTAGAGGACGACCCCACGTGGAGAAATCATGCGCCGCTGGCAATAAGAGATTCTGGAAAATTCACTTTACTCATCCGATATTGGTCCCTGTACTTAAAATATCTTCAGCAAAATGAAAGTCCCTCTGCGAGGTACGTGGTACAATACCAGAGAAAAACTTTTCCATGCTACAAGGCGGTCTATATGGGACATCAACGGAAATAGATCCGAAAATTATGTACGACGCCTTCCGGACATTTGCAGAAAGGTCGTTAATAACGGAGGTGATTATATTGAAGGTACGTAAATGTAAATATCTCTGTCAATAATGTCATTTCAGAGAAAAAGTCTCATTACTTTTTACTTTTACTCATTACTTTTTTGTAGTTTCAGTAGAGGGGAGGGGTGTTGGTGTAAAAGCTTTCATTTAATAAATAAAATGGTCTTAAGAAATGAACATTCTGGATATGACAACATTTTTATTCAGATTTTAGAATGCCAATACATCACAAATAATCAAATAGTCTAAAGAATAGAAATATTAAAAGAAGAATATTTATAAGGAAATAATTCTTTGAATGTTTTGAATTAGACGGTGAACCGAAAAAAGTCAGTTACAACAAATATTTATTTTCTAAAGTCAATTAATTGTCATTATTAAAGTAAAATAATTTTATAAGTGAATCTTTGGATTATAAAATTTAATTTATGGGTTGTTTGATTTCTCTGAACAGGATTCTGCACAAACCGGAACAGATTTCAACCTTTAATTTACAATTATTGCCATCTATGATTTAAAAATAAAACATTTAACATGATATTGACCGTTGAGAGGAAACATAAATATAGGTTTTCTATTAATCATTCGACTGTGACGTTCGTCATAACGCCGTCCAATTATTCTGTAATTTTGTTAGCCTTTTTTTTGAAATACCCCATTTTGAGTAGGAATAAAGAACAATAGTAAGAATATCAATTATTGACATCTTTCAATTTGGAATAATTTCATGATTCAAGAATCATATAATACTGATAGTCAATTTTATGGCATAGAGCAGTCACATCTACTATAGACAAACAAAACTGGAACTATGAAACCTTCAGTACCTACTAGTAATGTAGGTGTAAGGATACTTTAATTCAATTTCGATTGCAATTAAGCTATTAGATTTCAACTCTTTAAATGAAAATTGTGTCACTAATATAAAAATATTCAAAAAAGTCATTATTATTGAACATTAATGTTCGTATGTTATTTAAAAATTTTGCCATTTTATGAAGTTGTTAAGCCGTATCTTGAGCAGTGAGATAGTATTTCTTTGGGAATGGTTGGATATCGATAAGTTGTTGAAGGAATTGCAATATTTCCTTTCTTTATTAAGTCCAAATATATTATATTTATTATCACACAAACATAATTATTCAGAAACTTGAGCGATGTTTCATGTCGCTTTCATGAATTATTAATACAATTGGAACATCAACCATGGCCAGTAGTGTCAGTAGATTCACGGAAGTCCCAGGGAAGAAAATTCAACTGTGGTCGCCAAACGTGGAACCAGGAGTTTTAAATATAATACATCGATGGTCTACTTGCAAAACCTCGTATGTCAGAATTCAGTATTTTTTTCCAGGAGAGATAAAAAAAAGTGCGTTGTGATGTTATCAGCCAGTGAAACATTGAGTACTTTCAATCGCCGACAGAGAGCACCACAATGCGGTTTTGCACTTTGAGGGCTCGATATTGTGTGGCAGACAGATGATGAATGCAAATCAAAACACCATTTTTGTCAATTTTCAGACTTACGAGGTTTTGCAAGTAGGCCATCGATGTATATTGAAACGCTTCACGTTTCTAATTGCTCTGTAATTCTAACCACGCAGGTACAACATGTAAAACAGGCGAAGAACTGAAACATTGTGTTCAAGGCGGACGAGACAGAGCGTGAGGAGTGGCCAGACAGCATAGTTCACCGGGGAAATGGTGGCGAGAACAGCGACGAGATCGTCATGGCAGAAATCCGAGATCATCGAGTGGTAAATTGTCTTGAAAGCAATGTAAAGTAGTAGAAGTTAACAACGAAACACCGTGTGGAGTACGGAACTGTGAAAAAGTGAGTACATACTAAAGGTTTGGTTGAAACAACTGCGGAACACAGACACGTGCATCGTGTGCAGGGCATTTTAACATGATTTACAACTAAGTTGTTAATTGGACTAGAAGCAGCGTCTAGTAATACTAGACAAATTTATGTGACATTATCAACGCCGAAGCTGAAGTAGTGAAAAAGGGAGCCGTCGTGTAAAAGACCAAATCAGTGAATGGTGAATAGGAGTGACTGGTGC